TGGGGATGAGGGAAGGGAAAATATGGTTGCAAGGCCGAAGGACACTAAGAATGGAGCCTATGGCTTAATTTGATCCAGACCAATCCTACCTGGCTCAGAAATGGTCAATAGATTGGTAGTCCCAGACAAGAAACTAGGAGGTTCTTGGGAGATAAAAAGTTATCTCTTCCCTAACTCTCTACTCCCCCACCCCCAATTTTAATGCCCTCGAAGGTCCAGTTGATGATGGTACATCAAGCCTCCGCGTGTCTTAAAGTATCCAAGGAGCCTTCCCAGACTGAAGCTACTCTAGTCTCAGGCTCCCTCCCTAGCCTAGCCTTATAAAAGCTTCAGATCTCTTTAAAAAACAAACATTTTTTGGCTTTTTATGATCTTAATTTTGACCCAAAAATATTTCTTCCATTTATAGCATTTCTATGGAACTGCCTCCTGAAATATCATTCATATATTTTCTAAATCATATAATTTTTTAGAACCAATCAATGATGTTAAGTGGAGTATGCCCATTTAGTTTTCAATGTTTTCGCACACATTATTTCATTTGATCTTGTCTACTATGTGCTACTTCTGTGTAATCACAGAATTACGAAAATTCCAAATTGGAAGGGACCATCAGCAGAAATTTAGGTTATCTTACGCCCCAAAAGAATATCCTCTACAACATATTTGACAATTGACCCTAGAGGCTTTTGCTGAAAGTCCAGTGATGAAGAACTCACTATCATCTGAAATAGGCTGTTCCACTAAGTTTTCCCTTAAATGCAGACTAAATCTACCTCTTTGCAACTTGTATTCATTGCTTCTAGTTTGACTGGCTAGGGTCAAACAGAATAGATCTAATCCTTCTTCCATATGGAAGCCTTTCAAGTACTTGAAGACAACTATTATTTTCACCTTGGATTTTTTTCATCACCAGGTTAAATGTCCCTAGTTCCTTTAAGAGATTCTTTATATTGCATGAACTCTAGGCTTTTACTGTTTACTATTTATTATTCTGGCTACCCCCTTCTACATGTCCTCTAGTAAAATTTATCAGAGTTCTTCCTAAATGATGTTATCTAGAAATGAATTAACTTCTGCAGATGTGTTCTGACCAAGCCAGCGTATAGAGGGACTATTGCCTCCTCTCTAAAGGCAGCCCAAGATTGCATTAGCTTTTCTGACTGCCTTATCACATTGTTGATTCATATAATTAAAACACCCCAATTTTTTCAAATTACTCTATAACCACATCATTTTGAGTTTTGAATCGAACTGTAAAATGTTATATTCATCCATATTAAATTTTTTCTCATTAGATTCAGCCCAAGATTCTTTGCCTCTCCAAGAAAAGACTTTGTGTGTCTTGACTCTGTCACGTGGCATATTAACTAACCCTCCTGGCTTCGTGTCATCAGCAAATTTCATAAGCAAGCCATCTATGCACTTGTCCAAATTATTGATAAAAATGTTAAACAGCAAAGGGCCAAGCACAGATCCCTGGGTCACCTACTTCATATTGACACTGAACCATTAATGACATAAATCTAGTCATTCAACTAATTCCTTCTATTTGTGCTCTTGTCTAGCCCGCATGTTTCTATCTTTTCCACAAGAATAGTATGAGACACTTTATCACTTTGCTACAATCTAAGTACATTATATTTACAACCTTCTTCTGATCTAACCATTTAAAAACTCAATTGAAAAGAGAAATAATCTGAAATGATGTATTCTTGACAAAACCATGCTAACTCTTTGAAATCACTGCTACCTCATGTGAACAAAGGAGATAGGGATAGGAACCACATCTTGGGCAGATAGGAAAAGAAAAGGGACAAAATCAAAGAAACTGACTTAAATAAAATCAAGGAACTTGGGTTAAGGCATATAATTAATCAGTGAGAGATAAGGAATATGGGAATAGACTAGCATCAAAGTAGTGTAAGAAAAGCCCCAATCACAGAGATAAAAGATATTGACTTAAGGGGAAAATTCATACAAAAGAAATAAATGGAGAAAAACATAACCTTAAAAAAATAAATGCTTGTTTCCTTTTTCAGAGTCCACTATTTCTTTAATAATGTATAATCCCAGCAATTAAAGTCAAATTCACTAGTTTACAGTTTATAGATTCTATGCTCTGCTTTTTTGAACATTGGAACAATATTTGCCTGTCTCTGGTCCTGTGGTACCTTTCCTGTTCTCCAAGATCTTTTAAATGCCCCTATGACTCAGCAATCACATCAGTGGAAAGCCTGCAATAACCACAGATGGAGTTCATCCTGACCAGGTGACTGTTGTTCAGTAAAGGCAGCTAGGTGCTTTCCACCTTATTTTGATTATCTTATTATTTTGATTATCAGCACCCTATTGGTCATTTTGACTTTGTCCTCAGTCCAGAGCTGGTCTCCTTGACAGAGAAACAGAAGCAAAACAAAAGCTAAATAACAGTCCTCTATGTCTCTGTTATCAGTAATCTTTGCCCTATCTACCTCAAGCAGCAACCTTGTTCCTTTCTTGGAGCCTCTTTTTCTTCTGAAATGTGATTTATTTTTAAAGCTTTTTGTTGGCCTTAACGTTTCATTCTTAACTTAGTTAACTTAGAGCTTTAGAATTTCTGACACTATTCTGTAACAGTATTACCCCCTTGTTTTATTATTGTTGTTATTTATTATTATTAATCTTCTATTATCTACCCTTGCTTTCTTCTGGACATATATTTTAAAAATCTGAGTTGATTTGGTGAGGTCCCACTGTATCAATGTACTCTTCAGACAACTCCATGTTTTCTTCCTTACTGGAATTTACATTTTGTGTCTCCAGAATTTAGCTTCTCCTATCACTCTTCTCCTGGCTTTTCCTGTAGAATTTTAATCCGTGGGATCTATTCTTTCTGTGAAGCATTTGAAATAGACCTTCTCAAGATCTAGGATGCCTTTTTGGCCTTCCTTTTCTCTGCCACAAACTCTAGAAGAGAGTGATCACCTCCCCAAAGTTCCCATCATTTCTACTCTTTGTTGGAGAGAATTGGATTCAAAATAGAATTTCTTTTCATTAGTCCTTCTCCTTTAAGATGTCAAGAAATTCTGACCTGCTCTTTTCCTTTTGGCAGAAAGAGCAACTCAGCAGGTGAAAAAGTAAATGTAGTTTCTCATCACTACTCTATAATTCTTCTTTTCTGGACTTGAGATGTTTCCCAAACTCCTTATCTATTTCTTTTTTCTGTCTAGGGGGTCTGTAGTAGACTCTAGTGAAAAAATTTCATCCATTTTTCCCTCCATTGACCTTCACCCAAATGTTTTCCATTGATGCTTTCTGCTTCTGATTCCCAGGCTAATGAGAATTTATAATGATTATTTTTGCACAGCTACCCCCAGGGTAGATTAAAAGCATAATATTCTAGTTCATTTACTCTAAGTTGCTTTGGAGTAGATGAATATTGGGTTTTTTATGTCTTCTTTCCATAAAGTGAATTTTCCTCAGGCTCTGAGTAGGTATAGAACTTTATTAAGCTTGGGGAACTTCTAAGACCAAGCCACTTACCCTCTCTCAGCCTCAGTTTTTTTCCTCTGAAAAATGAAGAGATTGAACTTTATGACCTCTGAGGCCCTTTCCAAAGCTAAGTCTGTGATCTAATTATAATAATAATGGTAAGAGTTCACATTTATAGAGAGTTTTAAAGCTTGCAAAGTACGTTATATTATCTGATTTAATCCTCACACAATCCTGTGAGGTATGTGATAGTAATGTCCCCATTTTATAAATGAGCAAAGTGAAATAAGAGAAATTCAGTGGTTTATTCACAGCCTCACGGTTAATAAATGTCTGAGGCAAGATTTGAACCCAGGCCTTCCCAACTCCCAGATCCAGCGGGAACATTCATTAGGCTTCATTGTTTTATTCAATTACCTAAGTCTAGACACTATATTCTCTTACTTGTAGTTACTAAGTTCTCTCTGAAGCCTGAGTTTAGATTTTTTGTAAATAGTGTAAATTGGACAAAATCCTTTATCTTAAAATGACAAAGGAAATAGTCTTTTTTTTTTTGTTTCTGGAAGGCATCTACTGAAGATCCCTTCAATAGAACACAGCCAGAGTAAAACAGAGGTTTATAAAATTACCTTCATCATTTATACAATAGCCATGTGAGTTTTTTGGCTGAATTTTGTATACAATCACTTTAGCCCTCTGTGTTGTCTGGGAGTACTTGTATTAAGGGTGTTAGATAAATTCTAATTACTAGGAGACTAAGCTTTAAGTATTATTCCAGAGGGCAGATAAACTTCATAGATGGAGCCAAATCATATTCTGAATTTTGGCCAAACAAAGAAAAAAATTATACGTCAAGGAAACAAAGGTCTGGAGGAAATCTAGATGAGACAAGATTGTTATAGTCAATAAAAATGAACAAACACTTGAGAACGAGAAGTTAACCTTAATGACAGATGGCACAAGTTGATGACATTTGCCTAATGGCATTTTGAAAGGAATATCAAGATGCCAGGTCCCGAGAGCTTTCATTTTAGCACTCTTGGATGATAGTAGAATGCCAGCATCTTGAGGAAAGAACAGAGCTATTGCACCCATGACAGGTATCCCCTAGAATTGTAAACTGTGGGAATGTGGACTCCTTGGTTATTGTATTATAGCTACGCTAATTTCACCAAATCAGTACCTTTTTAAAAAATAGATATATATCATAAAAGTTGATGTATTAAGAAATTTATTTTAGTGAGTCAGTAATTCTAGAGCCCCAACAATATGTCAAAAATTATCCCTCATTAGTTTTTTTAGTTCCCCCCCCCCAAAAAAAAGAAAAACTAGGGCAGTGAGGTGGTGCAGTGGATAGAGCACCGACCCTAGAATCAGGAGGACCTGAGTTCAAATCCAGCCTCAGACACATAACACTCGCTAGCTGTGTAACTCTGGGCAAGTCACTTAACCCCAACTGCCTCACCAAAAAAACCCCAAAAAACCCTAAACCTTGTAAGTTTAATATTACCAATATGCTGTTTCAGGGTGTCGCCTCATCTTACTTTACAAGCCCTGAGGGAGCAGCTGGGTGAGTTCCTGGGTGAAGAGGCTGTTGCAGAAAAATTTTTATTTTTGAAATGCATTGGAAACAATTTAGCTGTGGTAAGTTATTTTCCAGTGTTTTTATTCTTTCACTTTAAAAACCTCAATACTTTAAAAAAAAAAAACACATGTTCTAATTGCTTCTTCATACAACTTCTTCATCTACAACTGAAACTGTACTTGACACACAACTAAAACTATAGAGATAACTTATGGATTTGAAATATCGCTAAGGAATTGTACGAATAAGGAAGATTTGGTTATTTCCACTTTTCTGTTGTTAGGGAACAAGAGCACGGCGTACGTGTGTGTGTGTGTGTGGGCGTGTGTGTGAGTGTGTATGTGTGTGCGTATCTATGTGTATATGAATTTCCTTAGGAACAAAAAGAAGACGTGAATTGAAAACAGGATCTTATAATGATGATGTTTCTGAGCAAAGATTATGATTTTCAGAGTTTTTGAAAGTCAGGTATTTCGGCTATAGAAAGAAATGTTGTTTCTGCCTGGGCCAGCACCCTGCTGAGTAGAGCGCGAGTGCAGCACAGATCCAAGGAGTCCATTTGTCTAGAAGCAGGAACATCGGATGTTCCTGGAATGGGCCTTGGGGACACCTAACCTGACCCTCTCAGTTTGCAGGTGAAGAGGATGAGGTCCAGGGAGGTTAAATTTGCCCCTCTGGTCTCTGACGGTGACTAGCCGAACCAGAAGTTGAAACTGGGTGTGCTGACATCATCTCCAATGCTTTTCCGATCTGTTGAATCACTGCAGTAAAGAGTTGAGAGACAAAGGCTAGAAACAGAACATCATAGACTCATCACATCATTGCAGTTAGAGATGGAAAGAACCTTAGACATCATCTAATTTAGCTCCCCTCATTTTATAGATGAGGAAACTAAAAAAGTTAAATTACTAATGGTAGTTTATATTGATAAGATAAGTAAGTGGCACAGGTGGGTTGGAACCCAGGATCTCTTCAGTCCCTTCACTTTATAGATTAAGAAATTCAAGTCTAGAGAGAGTAAGTTACTTGACCAAATTCCTATAGGTAGTGAATAGTACAGCCTGGATTCACACTGTCTTTTACCTCCACATCTTTTACTCTTTCCACTAATGTAACCTTGTATCTCCTACCCTAAGCCCATAACTCCCATCCCCAATAACACCGCAAATAGGAAAAAAGGTTCAGACAGGCTAATGGGGAAAAAGCCTTTCATTTTTGGATACAAAAAAGAAAAGAAAAGCACTCCTGAGTCCTGAGAAACAGGACAGAGCGCCTTGACAAAATCAGGCCTGATTCCATTCCAGGCTCTCTTTAGAGCTGAGCCTCCCTTCTGCTGTCTGGAATCATTTCATCCCTTGTTAGTTGTCTTTAGTAAGTTGAACCCAGCTGTTGTGATAGATCGAAAGCTGTCATACCTAGAATTTCTAATCAAATATTTCTGTCAGATTTCTGGCCCCCTGCCAGGAATGGACTCCATCCCCATTTCTGTCTCCTAAACTCTTTAACTTTCTTCAAAGATCGGTTCAGATATCACCTTTGTGTACATGACGCCTTTCCTGATCCTCCCAGTTGCTAATACCTCCCCCCTTCCTTATGTTATCTTATATTTACTATGCATATATTTTTATACATATATATACATATATACATGTATATGTATATGTGTGTGTGTGTGTGTGTGTGTGTGTGTGTGTGTGT